AATGATCTATCCCACTCCCCAGAAGAATCCCCATACCCACAAATCCCCCCCCCCCCCACAATCGGCCCTTCCCCTCAACCACCCAATCACCCACAAACCATGCACCCGTTCCCCTTGCCCGTCGCCCCGCCCGCCAAACAAAGTCGGCCTTATCCGCGCGAGGCGCGCAAAGCCTTGCACGTGGGACTTGGGGATGGGATGGGTGTGTAGTGTAGTGTAGTGTAGTGTAGTGTAGTGTACTGCGTATAGCCGGTAGATTATGATGCCGAGGCTGGCTGGCTGGGACTAGCTGAAGACCCTATTGTTCTCGATTTTATTTGGGGGGGGCGGGGGCAAGGATAGGGAGAAGTGTGTGGATGGATTGGGGCTGGTTGGTTTTAGGTTTGGATGTGGGTAGTTGGGCAGTGTTTGGGTTGGCAAGGATGGATGGATGGTGGATGTAGTGATTTTTGAAATGTTTTCATCATTGTCTGGTTTTGAATCTTGATAACGCGGTACTACAGTACAGTACAGTACAGTACAGTACAGTACTATTACCGCAACATACCGCGATTTTCCGCCACAACGCGACACCACCAGATGACAAGATGCTTGGACACTTTGCACACGAACTACGGCGACATTGTGCTGTCAACAGCGCGCAGATGGAGAATATTTCAAATACCGCGTAGGTATACTACACAGGAAACGGGCACCAAGTGCCACGTTCTAGAATCCCACTTAGTCTAGAGTAAACGCGGGTCGGTGATGAATAGTGGGGTTGGTACCGGTACACGTGCAAGCCCCATTATACCACAGTACAGTACAAGAAAACACGACTGCCATGGAGCGCTATTGTGCAATATACCGGTAGCGTAAACCAGATCCCAAGTGGGGATATCTGTGGATCGCGCGTGTCAGGAAGCGACGTCAGCGGCTCTGCGAATCTTTGGCTTGGATCTGGGGGCGCAAGGTGGCTGTGGTGTAGTTGTGCCGACATCTCAATCATGTCGGATCTATGTCGCTTTGGTAGTGTCGCGAGGGCAGTCGTCGTCGAGAGCTGCTTCATGGTTGAGACGGTGCTCTGCGCGAGCATGGTTGCGTTTGGCACATGTCAGGTTGTCGCGTTGGGAAAGTATCAAGAGGCGCCTTGTGAGAAGCTCGGGGTCTGCGATGATGAACCGAATTTCAAAGGAATTCGTCCTTGTATTCATGTGATGATGGTATCAGCGCTCGTGAGCTACTGATCAAAAGGAATCTATCCAACCCATGTCAATTCGTCATAAAAAAATTGCGTCATCGAGCTGATAATCAACACACGTGCTGAGAATGTGCGGGGATCTCCCAGGGCGGCTGTGTTTTTACTCTGCACGCTTGTCTACAGGAACATGGCGCTTGAAGCCGACGAGTTGGAGCATTTCAGTCCTGGAGTAATGATCAGTACGTGGCCGATTGTGAACAGGGAATCATGCTCTACATACCAGAATCCCACTGGGGGCGTGATGAAGCTAGCCTCGTACGCATCGATCAAAGGAGCGTCCCACACAAGGTCAACCTCATGCGGCTTGATCCACTTGGTCCTCTTGAATACTTTCCAAAAGATGAAGAGAATCGGCGCAAGCCCAACCATTGTGTAATAAGTGAAAAAGGACTCGAGGGTGAAGTTGCCAGGCTTGAAGGTCGAATACCCATAAACGAAGACGACGGTGATTTCAAAGCAGAGCGCAATGTAGGCTCCATAGGGCTGGAACCAACCCGTGTACGGCAGAGTGTTGCGGTCGAGTCCCTGGGCCTTGCACGCCTTGTAAAAGGCAATGTACGTGCTGCACATGACAATGTAGTTGATCACCCCACCAGCGGTGATGATGTTGGTAAGCCATGTCAATACCTTGGCAGAGTCGTCGGACAACTGGAGAAAGGAGAGGAATGGGAAGACCATGACGACGAGGAAGCAGTAGATCGGAACACCATTCTTGGTACACTTGCGGAGGAATCGTGGCGCACGGCCTTCAATGGCAAGCGAGTACAGACTACGTGTAGCGCAGTAGGTGTACGTGTTGCCGGCTGAAAAGATACTGGTGATGAGGAGAGCGTTGACCAGATGGGGAAGACCACCAATCTTCAAGTTGCGCATGGCGATGACGTAGGGAGAAGCCGCGGCACTGCTCTCACCAGCCTCCAGGACCTGGACGAGCTGGGGGTCGTTGTAGGCCAAGACAATGCCGACACAGAGAGCGCCGAGGATGAAGAAGGCACCGAACCGCCAGTAGACGGTTTTGAAGGCATTCTTGATGTAAACGCGTGGACGCCTAGCCTCGCCGGCAACCATGGAGATGTATTCTGGGCCAACGACGCAGAAGGAGGCCGCCCACAAGGAGCCCAAGAAACCTTCAAATCGTCCAAGATCTGCATTGCTCTCGCCATGGGAATTCATTGGTCCCGGATTACGCCAGTAACGGAAGCCGTATGCATCTTTCTGGGGGTTGCCACCAACCATGGTGATGAAGGTGAATGCGTACAGGATCAAAATCAAAAGTACCTTGCCACCAGAGAGCCAGAACTCAGCCTCTCCGTATGCCCTCACAGCAAGAATGTTGCAAGCACTAGCCATGTCAGTTTACATGGAACGAGTGCAATGTTGGTTATCGGGCCTTACGCGTATAGCACGATGACGGCTGCACAGACAGCTGCGACTGGAATATCATCTCTCCAGAACCTTAGGACAATATTGAGCGCCGTAATCTCAAAGGGAATCAGCAATGCCTCGTAGAGGAAGAAGTTCCAGCCAGCCATGAAGCCGTGAGCTTCGTCAACCCAGTGGCCAGCCAGACGGATAAACCCGCCAGAAACGGGCATAAAGGATGCCATTTCCGCCATGCAGTTATTGACCAGAGCAATGATACAAGAGTAGCCGGTGTAAGCGAGCAGGAGCCCAAGAGGACCGCCTTTATTCAGTGCTCCGCCTATGGATACGAAGAGCGCAGTACCAATACTCCCTCCAATGGCGATGAGCTGAATCTGACGGTTTCCAAGATGACGCTGAAGGTCATCGGAATTATCCGTCACGGTTCCATGCTGGACGTCATCACTGGGATACGTTTCGCGAACGAACTCGGCCGAAGACTTTTTTTCTTGCATGTTATGGTCGCAGAGGGCAATGCCGCGAGGGTTTGGCGTTCAAGTTGGCTGGGAAATTGGTCGCGTGAGGATTTTGTCGCTTGCGGAAGAGTGTTGCTTGGGAGTCGGCTGTGTACCAATCGCGTGGAAGAGGAGCCGAAGCTACAGAGGGAATCGCACTGGAGATGGGTGGACGTGAAGGAGGAAGGCTGGCAACCGTTTGGGACTTGGAAAGGCCCTTGCCAGACCAAGGATCCAGGGCGAACGCCTCAGCTTTATACGAGAGGCAGACACGGCACATGGCAAGGCTCGAGATGTGGATCCCGACATCTTGGTGGGAGAAGTAATGTGAGCGGGCCATGCAAACAGCTTAGCGCGATACTGGGCCTGCGGCGAAAGCTAACGATTTGCAGCGTAGTGAATGTACCCACATCTCCTGGGCATAGATCGGCCTTGGTCACCCGGGGCTGGGCGAGGTTTGCCTCATCAAAGTCAGCGAGCCAGTCCTCTTCCACACACAGCTCATGCGAATGTGAACATCGACCAGGGCTCCGGCGAACCCTCGCCTCCGCCATCCATCGGCAATGCAGGAAACGTAATCCAGTCTCGCGGGTGCTGTACTTCAGCCTCCTCCGTCTCCTCTTGGTGGCTCATCCTGATCCTGAGGAAGAGGAAACGCAGGCTTCAGATCGCTTGAAGGAAGCAACTGTAGTACTAAGAGTACGTGGCGCTTGATTGGATGCTAGTGGCTCCGTCGTACGAGTACATGAGAGTACAGGTGGGCTTGAAAGTGCACCTTGTAGCGTCATGCGGCGCAGTCGTCAGAGGGAGTGCAAGTCGAAGATTTTTGTCGAATTGGAGTTGCTAGATGAAGAGCGTCAACACCCCCAAGTAGCTGACGAGCTCGGTGTGGTTCAGAGGCTATTCTAGGAAAGCTTTTTTTTTTCTTTTTTTCTTTTTCTGACAGACAACAAGGTTTGGTGCCTTGACGGCTGGCGGGTTGCTTCGACATTTGGCAGACAAGCCTTGAGTGCGCGCTGGTTCGAATGACGCCACTGGAGGCTCACAGGATGGTGGGGGGGTTGGGCGGACAAGGGTGCCCGGTAGGTTCAAGTCCCGAGCCCGAGAAACTGCCAGCCAATGACATTCAAGGCTTGCACGTGCAAGTCTTCGTCTACACACCGGCCCCAAAAGCAAGGCGCGCAACAACAGCGTGGACAAGGCAGGCAGGCGTCAACAGCGTGGACAAGGCAGGCAGGCGTCAACAGCGTGGACAAGGCAGGCACGCGTCAACAGCGTGGACAAGGCAGGCAGGCGTCAACAGCGTGGACAAGGCAGGCACGCGTCAACAGCGTGGACAAGGCAGGCAGGCGTCAACAGCGTGGACAAGGCAGGCAGGCGTCAACAGCGTGGACAAGGCAGGCAGGCGTCAACAGCGTGGACAAGGCAGGCAGGCGTCAACAGCGTGGACAAGGCAGGCAGGCGTCAACAGCGTGGACAAGGCAGGCAGGCGTCAACAGCGTGGACAAGGCAGGCACGCGTCAACAGCGTGGACAAGGCAGGCACGCGTCAACAGCGTGGACAAGGCAGGCACGCGTCGACTCTCGTCCTTGCTCTGCTCGTCGAGACCAACTGCCTCGCTCTTCTTCTCCCCCACCTCTTCTTTCCCCTTGTCCTCACTCTGCTGATTCTCTTCCTCTTCCCCTTCAGCCTCTTCCTCAGACCTGCACCCGTTCTCCAAATAGTCGATAATTCGCTGACCCCAGGCATGGGGTGCCCACGAATATTCTTCCTTCCATGGTCTGCTATTATAGCACTACCGGTACCAAACCTACGATTACCGCTTCCAACATGGCCTAGATAGTTAGCTACAGCACGTAGTTCAGAGTAAACACGCCCATCTACTATGGACTGGCAATAAGCGTTGATAATAGTATTTACTATCTTGGGGGAGAGGTAAGCTCTCCTCTTCTTTTTATATGCGTGTAGCGTGTTGACTCGGGGGTTATAGTAGCTCTTCTACTACTTGGTTAGATGTATGTAGTTGCAGGTGCTTAGTAGATGCCGTTCCTGTGCCAGTATTGCATGTTAGAGGAAGGGACCATCCGGTGGTAATTGCAATCGGGCTATTGTTGACACTGTGCAAGTAGCGAGGAGTGCGTTTTGTGTTGTAATTAAGTTCCGATTCCTTGGACCGTCTACTGAACACGGATTTTTCGTGAGCCTCCCATCCAAGCCCCATCGATTTCTTACATTTTGCTCTCGCCTTTCAAATGTGTAATCATCAATGATAACCACCTCCACCACTACGATCCAAGACACCCACACCCTCCATCGTGGCGCCACTTCCCTTCCTTGACGGCATGCCATCAGGCACCAGCCCCATCCTCTCTTTCTCTTCATAGCCTCTAACTACTTCCCTCTCCGCCTCCCGTCTAGCCTCCTCCATGTGCCTGATCCGCTCCTTTCTCGCCTTTTCTTTCAGTTCGCCAAATGGATCAAAGCGCTCACTCTCCGGGTCTTTGAACGGGTTCCTGACCCAACTACCACGATCAGTCAACGTTGTCGATCGCGGCCGTCCAGCCAAAACATCGTACGCTTTGTTCAGCGGCGGGTCAGCAAATGGATTGGCCGATGGAACCGGGAACCGAGATCTGTTGCGCTCTGTGGACACGGTTTCGGGTCGCTCGTACGCTGCTGGACCGAAGAGAGTGTTGCTTCGTGCAGAGGATTGCGTGAGATGGCTTGTGCCGTGGCCACTGCCACCGCCGCCGATACGACTGTAGATCGATGATCCATCCTCCACATGCGCGGTCTCAGGAACGCGCAGTGAGTTGGTGTTGTCTGGATTGAAAGCATCACCGTCGAGGCGCTGGTGGTATTTGTCTAGTCTACGCCTGCGTTGCTTGATGAAGATTACAAGGCCGATGATAAGGGCGAGAGCACCTGGAGAAGTGTTAGCACACTCCGTCAATGGGTAAAAAATCGGCTCCTACCCAATACACCTAGAACAGTTGCAGCCACTGCTGCTGTCCTGGTGACAATTGGCCCATCCTGTTGTTGAGCTGATTTCTGAGGGGGTTGTCCGGCTTGGGTATCCGACTGCGCTGGCCCCGGTGGAAAACCAGCTGGAAGTTGACTAGGCTGTGGCACTGTGGTAGATGAAGATGAACTGCTGATGGGTCTCTGTGCTCCCCCAGTAGATGAAGGTGCATTTGTGATTTGTGGCAACGCTGCATTATTGCCTTGAGAAGTCAGGACCTGTGTGAAAGCTGGCGGTAATGAGAACACGACGGAAGGCGTACTTGGTGGGTTGTTAGAGACAGCAAGAGTATTGCTGGGCAAAGCAGACCCCGAGATCGTTGTTGGAGCGGGTCGTATTGGTTGCGGGCCGGGAGCAGCACCACTCTCTGCGGGCGAGGGGGGTTCATCTTCCTCAGATTCGGAGTCAGATTCATCACTTGACAACACACCGCCTTCATCGGAACTACTACCAGGCGAATCTGGGCTCTCAGGGCCTTCTTCTACTTCATCTTCTTCTTCCCCTTCCTCTTCTGCTCCCGCAGCAGGTGGTCCGCTTGGAGCAGGTGCCTGTCGTCGAAATCGCCTCGGGTAAATCTTTACGGGCGCAGGCCGTAAAAGCTGGTAGCGGGCCATGGTAATATGATTAAGTTATGTATCAAGTAGACAATCGCTCCAGAGCGCTCATGGAAAGAACGGAAAACTGCGTAAGAAAATTAAAGTCTCCGGGACTACGAATCAAAACGAAAGGATCCGATCAACGGACAAATCGAAAATGCGACTTGACGATCTTCCAAGTAAAAAGAATGGATGAACAAGCACCAAGGAAAAGGAGGGAGAGGAAAGTAATGGAAGATGGGGATGATGGCAGTATCATTGCGGGCTCCGGGACGGCACTTGGCAGTTTACCGCTACAGGGACAAGACTTCAGTCGTTCGACGTCTCCAAAGTGCACATCAGTGGATCACTTCAAGGGAAATCTCCAATCTCAGTGCCCCATGGAGAGCTGCTGGGGAAACAGAAATGGTATGATTGGGTTGTCCGAGCCAAGTTATCGTCCTTGAAACTGAGGCCCAGAGAAAGCCAAGAGATTCAAGGTGCCAATCGTAGTGGAAACTGTCATTGCGTCTATTATGTGAAGCCCGAAATCAGGTCAAGGCGTGTGTCAGGTCGATAGAGCGCTTGGTTGGCAGAAGCTTCAACGCGAAACGCCTTGGCGGTTTGACGAGACGTGATGAAGCGCGTAGAGCAGCAGATACGAGAACTGCCGCAACGGCAAAGCAGGATCAGTAGTCGTATGACTGCCGTGGCCATATAGCTATATATCCTAAATACATAACATTAGAAGGTTGTGGCGGAGTTGTAAAGCCTTGCGCAGGTACAAACTACACGTGCTAACGAATGTCGGATGAATGTGTGACACGGCCGGCCGCCTCCTCTTAGCATTATACTCTCTGCTCTACTCAACCCCGAGGCCAAAACGTGTCAAGTGCTTCGTGTTCGTTTCGATATGCAGTTGGATTGATGATGAAAGTACGCGGTAGGTCGGGACGTAACATGCCCGCTAAGTGCAATTCACATGTGGTCTGTGCACGACAACCCTGGAGTTGGTCCACATAGCATGGCAGTGGCCCGCGGAACGTCACCCATCCGCATTGATGGAAATCAACGTGCCCGAGCTGATTGCAAATTCCGAAAGCCACATTTGCATGTTCATTTTGAGCATGCATTCGTTGCCGTGCGTCTCCATGATCACCAAGCGATTACCTAGTATTGCTGCCCTCCGCGACGTTCACAGAACTCATTGATCACGCTAATAGGAGGATTGTATTGAGATGTAGTATATGGCTGTATGTGATCACGAGAAGGAATACATGTCTATACCGGGACACTCCGGTCCAAACTCTGCCCTTGACACATCTCATAATACATGCCCTTCTTGGAGAGGAGTCTTTGATGCGTGCCACTCTCGACAATTCGACCACGAGCGAAAACAACAATCAGATCAGCATCCTTGATAGTACTGAGACGATGAGCGACTGCGATTGTTGTGCGCCCACTTTTCGCTACCTCCAAGGCCGCCTGTACAACTTTCTCGGACTCTGTGTCTAGAGCAGACGTGGCTTCGTCCAGAAGAAGCAGACGCGGTTCGCGGATAAGAGCTCTAGCGATGGCGATACGTTGGCGTTGGCCACCTGATAGTTGGGTGCCTCTACTACCACACAGAGTATCAAGTCCATCGGGAAGAGACGCGATGAACTCGGAGATATTGGAGTCTCGAGCTACAGCTTTGATCTGAGCATCCGTAACATCGGTTTCCAAGCCCATAGCAATGTTGTCTCGTACTGAACCTTGATAAAGAACAGGCTCCTGTTGTACGAGGGATACTTCTCGTCGATATTTGCGTGGACAAAGGTTAATGAGCGGGCGATCATTACATGTGATGCGACCAGATCTAGGATCGTAGAAACGTTCCAGCAGTGATATCATGGTCGACTTGCCACAGCCGGAAGCGCCTACGAATGCGATATATTGACCAGGTTTCACATCGACGCTAATGTTCTGAAGGACATTCGAGTTCGGCCTTGATTCATAGGCGAATGTGACATCCTGAATATCAACGTGTGCAGGACCTTTGTCCCGCTCATGGTCGAAAGGTGGCTTGTCTGGGTCTTCTTGGACGGCTGGCTTTAACCGTCGTAGGCCGAAAAGATAATTAGCAGCAGTGGCGGATTTTGTCAGGCTTGTGGTGTACGAGAAGAAAGCAGCGGCGGCCTCCCCGGAGAAGATGACACCAATGAAAACCGTGAAAAACTGTGTCGTAGTATATTCTCCGTAACTGATAAGACGGCCGCCATACCTAATGGGTGTCAGTTGTAGTTGGACGGATCGGGATAAGAAACGTACCAGAAGCCGAGAGCCATGGCAAGGAATGATATTGATTGCGTTAAAGCATACCAAAACATGGTAAATATCAAGGCCTTTAAGCCGTTCTGGGCGATGCCTTGTAGGCGACTCTCATACATGTTGAGAACGTGTCGCTCTAGGGCAAGACTTGACACAGTGCGAATAGCCGATACCGCTTCAGAGGCCATAGCAGCGCTACTGGCAAATCTCTTGCCATTGAGATCCTCTAGCTTGAATTCAAGACGAATCCTGAGATATCCGGAAAATAGCAAAGGTGGCAAAGCTACAGTGAATTAGTCAACGCGCCTTGACAATCATCATGTCTCTGGGTGAAAAATACCTCCAAATACCACAACCAAACCAAGCTTCCACCCGACCACAATGGCCAGAATGGAACTCGAAAGTACGTTGACAATATTTATAAAGATGAGCATGAGATTGAAGCCCATTAGTTCATAGAGATTTGTCGGGTAGCTTGATAGGTTAGATGCTAATGCGCCGCTTGCGTTGGCTGCATCATCGAAGAATGCCATGTCCTGCTTGAGGATGAGATTGAACATTTCGTGTCGATATTCTCGCGAAACATGTTGCGCAATAATGTTAGAAAGATAGCCAATCACTGCGAATAGAACCAGGTTTCCTAAAGCAACGACGAAAAACATGAGAGCGTAGAAGTCGCCTTGGTCGACTGCTTGTGCAGCTGGGAGCTGAAAGGCTTCAACCACACGTGAGAAGAGAATGGCTTGCGCAGGGTATGTCGCTCCTGTAAACTATCAGCAAGAAGAAAATTATAATGAGTAGACATGACATACCGCCACAAAGCGCTGCAACACCTAGGACTACAAAGTGCATCCATAAATTGCCTTGCTCCTTTAGAATAAGGTACGCGCACTTGACCAAGTTGTAGTTGACAACATCGTGGCCAGGACCATGATTGGCCTTGTTGACTGTGGACGCTTGGGTCTGGGTGCGTACAAGAGACGCCCGACTTGAAGTCTCGTCTCCGTCACCCTGCGAATTGTCTGTAGTTTGACCAAGATCTTGGGCCCTTACGAGGCGAGCATAAGCACCACCGCGCTCAAGAAGATCTGTATGTGTGCCCTGTTCGAGGACAACGCCATCACCTATAACAGCGATATTATCAGCATTGCGAATGGTCGACAGCTTGTGAGCAATAACGATTGTTGTGCGATCTCGTGAGACTCTGTCCAGGGCTTCTTGGACGATCTTCTCGGCCTTTGGATCCAGAGCGCTCGTCGCTTCGTCGAGGAGTAACACGGTAGGCTGGGAAACAATACTGCGTGCAATTGCGAGTCTCTGTTTTTGTCCACCAGAAAGATTTGTGGCTCGCTCGCCCAAGACGGTATTGTAACCTTGAGGCAATTGCTCAATGAACTCGGAAGCGTATGCATCTTTGCACGCCTTCTCCACAAGAGCACGTTGCTCTTGTTGTGGAAGGGTAGCTTTTTCGGTTCCCAGTAATCCATAGACGATGTTCTCGTAGACTGTACCGGAGAACAAGACTGGCTCTTGTTGTACCAGCCGAACATTAGTCCGTAGCCAAGTCAGGTTCAGTTCACGAATGTCTGTGCCGTCGAAAGATACGGTGCCACTAAGCTGGTCATACCATCGCTCCAACAGGCCAACAATAGTAGATTTTCCCGACCCAGATGCGCCCACTAGAGCAGTTGTTTTGTTGGCAGGGGCTGTCAAGGTGAGGCCTTTCAGGACCGTGATGTCGGGTCTGGCAGGGTACGAAAATACAACATTCTCGATATCAATTCGTCCACGGCATGTTGTTGGTATAATGCCGTGATCGCTCAAAGGATCAATCTCCGACTTTCGATCAATTGTCGTGAACATCTCGTCGGCCGCGGATGATGCTTTCACTAAGGAAACAATCTGCGGCGCAATGGTCGTCATGGCAGTTGCCGCGACAATGACCGCAAGAATAACGACAAAGACGTCGCCACTTTCCTTGATTTCACCGCTGGCATACATCCGGATACCTTTCCAGAATGCAAGCCCATAGCCAGAGTAGACGCAGAAGAACTCTGTTGAGAAAAGAACCGAATAGATAGGAGATTTCTTCATCCCCTCGGTCATGGCTGCGTCCAAGAAGGCCTCATACTTGCGTGATAGCAAAGGGTTCAACCAAAAGGCATGGACTGTCCGGACTGTTGAAAAAACTTCTTCTGCAAGTAATCCAGCATCCGAATAAATCGCAAGCACTTTCTTCTCGTTTTTGCCATCGAGCCCCACGCAAATCCCAACCACGACGATGATAGTAGGGACAATACTCAACGTGATCAAAGTGAGCTTCCATTGAATTGCAAAGGCAACAATGAAGGCTGTCACAAACGTGGAGATACCCTGGATTATCAAAGTAAGTTTTTCAGAGATCCCGTTGTTGACGTTGTTCCCGTTCGTAGTAACTTGCGTCGTGACAGAAGCGGCCTCGCTAGAATCGAAATACGCGATGTTCTGCCGCAAAATACATTTGATAAAGTCGATGCGAAGCGCTTTGGTGGTTCGTATAGCTGAGATGGAAATTCCAACCTGTCTGTGTAAGCATCGAATGCTTCTAGTATCGCGCTGAGACGCACCGAGTGTATGTACACAAGACCAAACTTGGCAACAAATAGATATATAAAGTACAGTGTGTATTTGTTGACTTCAGACCTATATTTTTCAGGAGTGGTTGATCCAGTTGCAAATCCGGTAAATGTTGTGACAAATTTACCAAACACGAGGTCCATTAGTGGTAAAAGTGTTCCTGCACCGATGGCAGCAAGGAATGAGATAGAATTAAGCGTCCAGCTCGTACGGTCAGCATATTTGAAGATGCGCTGTTGTAGATTTAGTATGATGTGGGAAGAGTGGACTGCTAGGCTTACAAGATAGCCTCCTGAACTCTTCTGGGCTTCGTTGGCTACCGCATCAGCCTTGGAAGAGATATCGATGCTTCGTTTTTCATCCTGACATATTCTCTGATCAGGCAATTGTGACAACTCTTCTTTTCGCGACATGCTATGCATCAACTTTGATGGGAGAGTTAAAGATTAATGTCTGCAGCTTTTGTGTGTGGCCATGTCAGTATGGTGTTAAAGAGCCTCTCAGCCGGGGTCCTCGCATCCCGAGAAGGCCAAAGTCGATGCCTAGCCCAAGTGGCGTCCGCTCGTACATCTGGGCGAGTCTATTGTGGTCGAAAGTAAGCGTGGTCCCAAGGGGTCAAGCCATGCCGCCTAGGGGGTAGGTACTGGTATCAATATTTACCGAGACTGGAATCGTGTGTGTGCTTCAGAACTAGCTGTGACTACATACATAAGGGCCAGTAATAACCTAGAAGTAAGCCCTAATTAATTCCTATTGATTGAAATGTACTTCATGAATTTGGAGAGCTTGACCTATTGACGGTTATGGCCACCAAATTCCTCTTAGGCCCCTTTTTGATCCCCCTCGCCGCCCCCTATGTTCAGAGGAATTTTACTTTTGCTCGCTTCTAACTTCTAAGCTCTGTGTAGCATAGCGTGGATGTTCGGACACTATGCTGGTGTACGAGAAATCCGAACCGTTCTTGGGATCGTGCCAACAATCGACTTCCGCAAGCAGACTAAACCGATCATATAACATTAAGCCTTTCAGGCTTGCCTAGGATGCGCTCTTAGCACAAATCTGGGCTGAACATAATTACCCATTTGAGGCGTCAACTGTATCATCTGGAGGATAATTTACGGGTATTGACTCTTGTAAAGTGTTAGTCTAATTCCACATGCTACACTGTGCAGAGTAGAAGTTGACGGTTGCCTAGAGCCACGAGGATCTCGACATCGACTCATGACATAATCGACTAGGTAGGTACCGCCGGAGGCCGACGCGTCCAGCCTCCGGACGTTTCCACAAGACAGCCACGATCTTCAACTCACAGTACATACCGCAGTATACTTTCAGCCACTTGCAGCTTCCGGAAAGATGGACGATGGCGATGACATGGATGTGTCGGTTGACGGGATTCTGTCCAAACGTGCAGTATGTAGAGTCGGACGGCTGGCTTGCCTTACCAGGCTGCCGGTACCATACATCAACTGATTGTCCCAGTGCGACTCCTGTAGAAACAGAAAAATCAAATGCGACCGATGTGTGCCATGTTCCAATTGCAAAGCCAGCAAGTTGAGTGAGTACATCTTGCCATAACTCGGATACGAGTCTGAGGCTGATTCTTGAAGCGTGCACCACAACTGCACCGATGCAAAAGGCGCCGCGACAACGAGTTCACATATCTGATGAGTAGTGCGTGCTTTTTTTAGCCAGGCGTTTTTTTTTTGGCTTTGATATATTTCAAGTCTACTTACCCTGTCTCGATTAAGGGTCGAATGCTTTCCATACGTCCACTTCAGATTTCCCTCGTTCCTGGCTGATTATTGAGCAGCGAAAAGAAGATTGATCGAATTGAAGACCGATTAGCAAGCATCGAGAATGTTTTGGCGGGTCTCGCAACCAGATTGGGTAATTTGGACTTACAGAAAGATGATTCAAGCAGCCAGTCACGATCCAGTCGGGTTGGCGTAAATAATAAAAGCCCTGGGATTACGACTGATGCAGCCGCTACTCCTGCAACGTTCGAAGGTGAAACAACAATCAACAGTCAATCGGGTTATGCACGAGAGCTACTGGCCCAGGCTATCGGCAACACACCATCCATGGAACAAAACGCAGAGATTAGATCTGCACTGACCGCGCTGAAAGAATTAGTCGGCCAACAAGGCCAAATAACTACGTCTTCGAATCAGCTCATTAATCGAACTCTCGCAGAATTTGACCCGGCCAAGTTGGAACGGCCACCCTGGGCTGTGGTTAGCGACACTTTGGACAAGGCGTGCAGTCAGTATTCTGTCCGTGCTATGTAGACATGGTACTTATATGCACAGAGTTCCCTACCATGGCTTTTGTGATCATCTTTCCCTTTCTGAAAATGGAGAATATAAGGGAGATTGTAGAAGATGCATACTTCAACGCAGGCTCTTGTTCTGCTCCGAGGCGCGTCCTCGCTTACGGGGTCATGGAGAACATATTTGTTGAGTTCAAGGCATTCCCTCTCGCCAATCAGGACATCGGCCATTTTGGAGAATACAGCAACATGTGCAAAAGGCATATGGAGGTGGCTATGAGCCAGCTGGATATTTTCATGCCAGCAAGCTACGAGAACATCATGGCTCTACTAATCAGCGCTGCACAATCAATCGAACTGTGTAAACCATCGCTATGCTGGGTCATGATCTCGACTGCAGCCGGCCTGTGCCAAAACCTCGGCTACCACCGCATCAATACAATGGCGAATGATAGTGTGGAAGAACAAAATGCTAAGATCCACGTTTTTTGGATGGTCTACATGCTTGACAAGACCCTTTCGCTTCGTCTTGGTCGTGCCTCGATCATCCAGGATTGGGACATCTCGCTTCCATTTTTCGTTGGCAATGAGAACGCTACGGAAACTCCTGATGGCACCCAGATGCTTTCCTACTGGATCAAAGTTGCACGAGTTCAAGGCTTGACGTACGAGAAGCTCTTCTGTCCCGCCGCCTTCCTCACGTCGCCTGACGAACGTGCTCGTATTGCTAATGATCTGGTCAATGCGATGAACCAAGCGTGGCTTGAAAGGGGTGAGGTGACCGTTGCAGATTTTACAGACTTGGGTAAGGACATTAAGTTTGTGCCTCATCGCACATCATACACCCTGAATAGCCCAAGCACCACAGAGATACCATCCAGGCGCAAGCGGCTCGGGCCTCCAAAACCGATAACTGCGCCTCTGAATGCGGCAGAATATATACAAGGTAGGCTGTCATCACTGCTCCAGACCTCTTGCTGATTTCTGGAAGGGTCGTTTGAGCGCATTCAAGATATATTTTTTCATTCAGATGTTGTTATGCACTATTCTACTTGTGCGCTCATCCAACGAGCCGTCAGTCCTGACAATTTCACATTCAATCAAGAATGTCTTGAATCCTCTCGAGCGGCTCTGGCAGCCCACATGAGGGCAAACGCTCAGTTCAACACCAATGGAAACGAGGAGTTATGGTCAGGTTATATCCATTGGTCTATCCTCAACGCCCCTTTTACTCCGTAAGCTTCATCCCTACCCGGTCAGCCCACAAACTAACATCGCTCGAGTTTTATTGTCATCTTTTGCTATGTCATTCAAGAAAACGAGTCCAGTGACCTCGACTCTCTCTTTGACTTTGTCGCCAGCCTAGAATCCTGTCGCACTATATCGGAAGGCGCCGACAGACTATACAAAATGTGTCACATGTTCTCGCAAATCGCGAAACTCTACGTTCAAGCAAAGACTCAAGAAAAAACGACGCGCACTCAAGCAGGAGCTCAGGGAAGCCAGACAGATTATTATACCACAGCTGATGGAACACACTTGGATCTCAATGCATCAAACTCATTCGATCCATATCTCAATGCACTTGGCCTCATGCCAAATTGGAGATGGCCGGGTCCTGGCGTCCATGCTACATCAAATGAATTCGATGCTCCGCAGGATACTAGTGGAGTCAACATCTACAACCAGGGAAATAATTTAAGCGGTGTGCCAGGCATTAGTGCGACGAATCTCGGCTTTGGTCCCCTAGGTGGAAACCAGAATTCTGTACAAGATTGGTTCTCTGGATCACGATATCTGATGAATTGGATAGAAGCGGGTGACGAACTCCAGATGCCAGATTTAAATTTATAGATATGGATCAGGCCGAGAGTTTCACTACGTCTGTGTTACGAACTTGTTAGATACTGCATTCCCGTGGGAACTTCTGTGTGCCATTGAAATATCTAGCGGTTCCTGAACGCTCTTGTAGTAGATGATGGATCATTCTGGGGAGCCTGCCCTTGGAGAAATGCATCCAAATCGAAGTGATTCGGTATTCGCATTCTGCACTGCTGTTCTCTACTACATGTCCTGTCTTTGTGGGTTCTTTGCATTCGCATCCTGCTTCTGCCACTCCCTCTCCTCAGCAGCCCTTCTCATCTCCTCCCTTTACTTATTCTCTGCCTCTTTCCCTTCGCAGCCACTACACGGGCCTATCTGACCACAAGGATTCTCGTCCCCCGTCTCATAAACACGGCAGTACGACTCAAAACCAGGACAGGCCGCTTTCTCAACAGAGTTTTGATAATTGCACATCTTGCCCCATTTTCCATCAGTTCTCCAGCTTGGCGATATGTAAGGCTTGAAATTGTACTTCCTACAAACGGGACAGATGTAGCGCCATTCCTTGCACATGACTACAATTTGTTTGTTAAGGCGATAGTTCTAACGATCTATATAGACAGCAGTTCAGGAACTGAGTCTCCGGATTTTCGCACGACGTCAGATTCTCGAAGAAGTTGTTGTGTGGATTTGCAATGATGAATACTCTAGGGGAGTTGGTCCCGGGTTCTGGACTTTATAGGCGCGGTCTGACTGGCTGAAGGCGTGTGATATGGCTGAGTTCAACTTCCAATCACTATCATGCTATGAGTCTTCCACTTAATATGATTCATGCTGACTGTGTGACTAGACGATAGCAGAAGTGAAGCGGCTAACTGCAGATTGATCCCTACGATGGGTATGCTGAGTGATTTGACGACCATCCCCGGGTTCACGCATGGAAGATTTCATGATCAGTCGGATACCCGTAAAACAAGAGCACCTTCCAATGAGGGACATGAAATTATTTAAAGTTTACATACTACTCAGTAAGAGATACGTTCATAGTGTAATAGCTATTTCACTTGTCTCCTTTGGTCCAAATAAAGTACAAGGATAATCGGTATCGCGCTTGAAAAAACGAGAACAGAGGCTCAGAATGGCAGAAGGAAGTTCTGAGCGAGGAATATCGTGGATGTATTGAAGGTTTAAGGTATGGTTGTCCGTAGTGACCACGAGTGGGTATTGGCAAACTGGAGGTAGTTGCAGGCCTGAGATAGACTGTTCACAATTAAGTAAGAAATTCATAATTTGAATTCTGGAGAACAGTAGGGGTGGCAATTTAGGACTAGAGCTAGAATAACTTCATCATGTCGGCCGTAGATTACGTATTTGTATGTCTTGATCCTAAATGGATAGGACAACTAGACACCAAATCACCATGGTATTTCAAAATGAATGCACGGCTAATCAAGAGGAACAAGAAACAACAGTCACTTCATTACTTCCTTAGTCCTTCAAAATAGCGCAAGTGCATTCGGCGAGCTGCCCACACCCCCCGGCACATTGCCCGGCGCACTCGTCAATAAAAACGTCCACCTCTCCTTCTCCTTGCAAACTCTTGCCAATCGCTCCAAATCCCACAGCTCTCCAATCGGCATACCCCATAGCGGTAATAAAGAGGCATGCAAACTCTCCTGAAAGCTTGGCGGTGGCCACGCTTCAAAATTGGCATTATCGCATGCAGCCGCTGCAAAGTAGTTATCGTATAGGAAATCTTTCATGGAGTCACTGGCCTCGAGGCCAGCGTAGGTGTGAGCATTGAGATCGAATTGGGACTGTGCGGTCTTTTGGGAAGAAGTGAGGGAGAAGTAGTGGGCTAGCCAGCCTGTGCGTATGAGTAGGATGTCGCCAGTCTGGAGTGTTGTGTTTTGGGATTTTGCGCAGGCGATGAGGTCGGCGGCTGTGATGTGGTGGGTATTGAAGGGGTTGTAGGATTTCCCGTTCGATTGGGACCAAGTATAGACGTCGAGGAGGACGCCACGACCGACGATGCCTCGTTTGGCCCAGGCGTCTATGCCTAGGCGACGCGGTTTAATTTCTTTTCGTGCTGTCGTGTTTCCGTGGCATTGCTCCTGGTCTTTGTCATCTCCTTCTATTTCGGCGAGTATCTCATCACTTGCTACGCCGTTGTAGTGGCATCCTGTCTTTGGGTCGGCGAAGTGTCGAAAACCATCCCATTGACTGCTAGATTGTGTGTTTAACTCGATTTCATCATCGAAGGCACCTTTGCCTATGCTCTTGATCCGATGTTTCATGGGCATACGGCCGAAGAACGTTGGGCCTGGAATATTGAGTGGGAGATCCAGGGGTACCACTTCGCCAGTCTTGACATTGTCCTGTGTCGCCTTTGCGATACGTTCTGTTGTAAGGAGGTTCAGTCGGCCAAGTTCATCACTGCCACCCCAAAACCATGCTGCACCCTCTGGTGTCCCGGAGACATGTGGAAGTTGACTGCGTTTCGGAAAAGAGGTGGCGTCATTATTTGGATTAAGACGCATTTTCGGGGAATGCTGTGCTCCAGCGAATGTATTCTGGGGTATGCGAAGAGCTTACTCCGCTTCATAGCTGATATCGTGATGTTTTACCAAGCCTCGCTTGCGATGTTAAAGATGACGTCGTGGTCGCGTAGTGGAGAATTGCAAGGACGGCGGCTAACTTTGGCCCCCACGTCCCGCGAGCTCAATGACCTGATTCAAAACAATGATCTATCCAGTCTTCCCGACAAGTCAAAAGTATTTTAACTCTCTGTGCCTAATGATCAAGAAGTGGCGATCAGCGTTGTGTGTAGAACAAATTCCCATGTTTACCGGTAAGACTACCATGAAACACACACATGAGGCAAGACTTCCGTTTTCTGTCAATAGAACCTCATTTCTCACTTCGAATATCCTACTTCCGACAGATTTTCTTATGATCCCTCCAATCCCCTTTCTGACACGCCACCCCACAATACCCCACCCTTCCACATCCTTTACACTTCTTCACACCCTCAATCCTACCACAGTTCTCACATTCACCCTCTTCTCGCTTGCCCCTTCCCTTCACCAACACCACATCCATACCTGGCACTTTCTTCTTCATCATGTCGACCAAAATCCTCACATTCATGCCATCGTTGTCTTTAGCATGCACATCACCTCCATGCTGCACAAACCATTTCATCATCTCTACGTTCTTCGTGGTGTCACCGTGGATATCTGCTTGTGCAATCTCGGAGCCAGTGTTGCCGCCGAAGCGGTTGCGTGTATTCACACTGCCGCCAGCGTCAAACAGAAGCTGGGCGAATGAAGGGACAGCAAAAGGTTTAGTGGAAATGGACCAGTAAAGAGCTGTTGCGCCGGTCGCGTCGGTCCCCGTTACAGGAACTTGAATGTTCGCCGTGAGATACCGTGTCAAGTCCAGCAATTTTGCCTCGTTTTCGGGATTGAAGAAAAAGAATTGTAGGACTACGTTGTAGATTGGCAGACGAGTAGCTCCCCAGCGGGCGGCGTATAGCTCATCTCGGATCATTTCTGTGGCCGCTTCATCGTCGCCTAGCTCTGAGACTCGAGAGTTGACGTAGCTTTGGAGCGCATCCCAATCGCCGTTGAAAGTGGAGAGTAAGACTTTGCCAAGGGTATCGTTCAGGTCACGAGCGGGTACTAGAGGATTTTGCGAGGCCCAGCCTCGTAATTCGAGAGCGTCCATGCCAGTGAGTTGGTCATTAGAGCTGATGAGATCCTCTAGTGGGCTAGATCTGGTCAGTGCTTGTTCCGTTGCTTGATTCTCGATGACTACAATAGATGGTGGAATACCTTGAGGGGGATTGATTACCGATTAGATCTTGGTTGCATGTTCTGCAACATACTCATAAAAGCGGCCGACATGGCGAATTCAATTTGTCTCGCGGCAGATTGTTTGCACAGTCCGCGTAAGTATGATTTCGATTGTTGAAATATTCAACATGTGAAGCATCAGGTCCAAGGTTCTTGCATGACAAGTTTCCCGCCAAAGTTGCGGAGCATGTGGGGTCGAGCCTCTTAAGACGTCAGTGAGATCATCTTAAAACGCCAATTACCTTACCCAAGACCTGGTTTTCTTAAGATCTTAGTCATCTTAATATTGCAATTCTGCTACTAAGTCGGCGGCTTTTCGGGAGTCACTTAGTATTTAACGGTCATGTTCATAATTCTTCAGATTGAGGATAAAAATGACAGGAATAGCAAAGTCAAGTATAGTTCCTCCACGATAAAACTGCGCGAGTGCTAGCAGCGATGCCAGTGCCATGGCATCCAACATGATAGTAGAAAAACGATATTTCGCTCCAGAACCAGACTTCCAACGCCTATGCACCAAAGTAAGAACATTTCCAACCCAAAGTTTGGCTGTAGATCTTCCGTCAGATCTATGCGGACCCATTTTACTTCTTCAACACAGCATCATACAGGCTAACCAGAATGCCAACAGCTGCCCCAATCTGCAGGCCATAGTATCCACCAGGGACATTGTTCCGTACTGTGCCAACACTGGATGCGGAAAACGGGCCCCAGCCGTAGCTTTCAGGCACTGTGTGAACGCGCATCTCGCCGACAGGAATTGCCGTTATGTCGGTAGGTTGGAGGTAGCGATACGCACTGTACGACAAGATGGCTTTGACGAGATGAAATACCAGGGGGTCCGTCGTGTATTGGCGCTCTGAAGATTTGCGTTCGGTATTTGTGCGAAGTGTGAGGTTGATGAAGTACGAAAAAACGAGGGGTAACACCCAGCTCGTCAAGGACCAGAGTGTTGCCGGAGCCCAGAATTCGGCTGTGAGGAGTTTGGTAAATTCTGGTACCGCGAGAAAGCTGTACCCAGTGGCCTTTGTTGCGCTATCTGAGAGTTGTACGATGTGGGTCGTCTCGAGTGTATTCCACTGTAATCCAACAGCCTCGATCAAGAGAATGAGGGTCTGAATGGTGGCGACTGAACTTGCGTTCTCGCGTATGAGCTCTTTCAGCTCGTCGATACGTGATCTTTCCCATAGCTGGGCAGCCTTTATCTGTAATGTTTGGAGAGAGTGGTCTGCGACTTCGGCGAGCTGAGATGGGGATGCTGGAATGTCGACTTCATTTAAAACTTGGGAGACGCGTCTAGAGACCGCGCGCGGTGTACGGGTTACGAGGGCACTCTTCTCGATGGCTGGGGACTCCGCCCTGTGGATTTGCGTCAGTAAAAGGATACAGCGCTTCGCGTGCTAGGGGCGACTTACGAAGGTTCCTTCACAAACGTTCGACGACGCGATTTAGTGAGAGTTACAGGCTCAGAGGGCGAAGAGCGCTCTCTCTTTAGAGGCGATCCTGCACGACCGTAGTAATCGCGAAATTCCGGATGTTTGGCATATGTAGTCTCGTTCGCGTTCAGATGCGCGCCCAAAAGTTCCACAAGATCGTCTTTCAAGAGACCATCAGCACTGCAATTCACTTGTCAGAGATGGGATGCATTGACACTCGGATTCAGACGTACTCCGCCAACCTTGACTTCTGAGCAAGCTCCAGAAGCTCGCCCTTGCGCTTGCGCTGCAACCACGAATGGGACATGCTGCCTGATATAAATAGAGTCGCGTAAAGATTGCGATCACGATAAAATGGTTGCTCAAAGAAAGGAAGCGCGTTGTGGTGCAGATATTGCAGTCTTGGTCAGTGTTGATCAGATGGCGAATGCCGGTTCGCGAAGATGTAAACACAAGGTTAGGGAACACGTGAGCAAGGAAGGTGAGGCGCTAAACTACATATTGCCTCCTCCACCGTAAAGAGAGATGCGGCATTACTACGGTCGATCGTTTGGGGAACATGGAGCATTCCTTGGGAGGGCGTGGTCAGAGGGAACCATAGATGGTACCTGAATGCGTCGTCTGCATATCTTATCGGACGGTATCTTGTCCTTGTGGCAAAAACAAGCTTACAGGGTAGCCCAAGCTGTCGAGCACCGGCGGGAGTGCAGGGTCTGAAAGACGCTAGGAATTTTTTGGAGCCGCATCATCGCATAGCGACATCAACGTCACTCTCTCTATACACGTGCGCAACATCATTCACTCACTTCTCGCTGCCTAGCCATACACTCTTGCCATTCCCATTCAGACGACCCCCTTGATTCACCGCGCCGCTATCGAAGCTTCCGCTAATGGTCCTTGCCCGCGTGGCCGACTTCTTCACGAACGGAGATTCCACACAAAACATCGTCGACAGCACAGGAAGAGATGTTGCAGATACAGCAGAGAGCATGGCAAAGAACGCGGCGGACACAATGCAAACAGCGGTTGAAGAGGAGATAGATGTGGATGCCGCGAGACCCCCATATATACATGTGAGGGTGCCTGAACTGGACATATGAGGCGCGATTATTGATCCTATGCAGGCAATGTTGGCTGGAGGCATTGGAGGTACCACTGGCGATATGCTGATGCATTCACTAGACACGGTGAAGACACGGCAGCAGGGCGACCCCCACATGCCACCGAAATACACCTCAATGGGCTCGACCTACTACACGATATGGAGGCAGGAGGGCATACGGAAGGGGCTATATGGAGGGGTGCAACCAGCATTCCTCGGATCATTTGTTGGAACAGTGTGCTTCTTTGGTGCATACGAGTGGAGCAAGCGAGCCATGATCGACAATGGTGTTGCGCCTTCGATAGCCTACTTCTCGGCTGGTATGCCATTGGATACGCTGGAAAGCATTGATACATGACTGACAGCCTTTAGGTCTTATCGCTGACCTAGCCGCTGCGCCAGCATACGTGCCATCCGAAGTCCTCAAAACTCGTTTGCAATTACAAGGCCGCTATAAAAACCCATACTTCAATTCTGGATACAATTACCGCGGGACCGTGGATGCTATAAGGACGATTATCAAGACAGAAGGCTACAGTGCATTATTCCATGGCTACAAGGCAACTCTTTGGCGAGATCTACCCTTCTCAGCACTGCAATTCGCGTTCTATGAGCAAGAGCGGGGATGGGCAAAAAAATACATGGGGTCGAACAATATTGGTCTGCCTTTAGAGATTGCAACTGCAGCGAGTGCAGGAGGCATGGCCGGTGTCATCACAACACCACTCGACGTGGTGAAGACGCGCATACAGACGCAACATAACGAGCCTTCAGTGGCGACTTCCACTTCGCGAAAGACAGCACCGCAGTCGACAACAACGTCAAAACATACAACCACGCCCACCGCCACGAAAAATACTACCTCAACACAGTCTAGACTGATCTCAACATCCTCTCCTTCCACAACACTCAAGGCCCATGGCGCAGCCACCCTTGATACCTCCTCCGTCCTGACAGGTCTAAAGATCATATATAAGACCGAAGGTGTGGCTGGTTGGTTCCGAGGTGTGGGTCCAAGATTCGTCTGGACTAGCGTACAATCTGGCACGATGTTGGTCTTGTACCAGACGCTTTTGAGATTTTTCGAAGACCATCCCCTCGTCACAGGAGGAGGAGACATGTAAGATAGAAAATATTGTATTATGTTATGAGGAATTGGGTTAGAAGCATTAGCGGCGTTTGTGTGGTGACTTCGTAGCAGAGGCAAGAAGGCGATGTCGCAGAGCCTCCTTTTGGCTATACCCTGTGAATAGAAGGAACTTTACACTCCAACTGCCTGCAGCTGTGAATTTTGTATGGGTAGTAACAATTGCGAACTTCTCAGTACTGGCTTGAATGGACGACCGTGTTATGGGAAATGATTTGAGACAATCCGTCTCTGTATACATTCATTGTATCCATCCACCCCTCGCACAATGAGCACGGAAGTTTCAAATGGCATATCGCATAATTTCCATGCGGTCGTTATTTCGAACACAGTCAAGATGACGTGAAGCTAGCGAGAGCTCCATGTAAAATTATGCTCTTCTCAGGGTGGCACATACAACAATATTTCCCAGACTTCATTCTTTAGTAATTATGGTACGAATTCTACGTCAATTTAACTTTACCATTGTTGCTAATGACGCACTTATAAGTTATCAACTTAAAGAACTACTGCACACTCGAACGTACATTCCTCAGCGGCAATTTGGCCTCCACCTCTTGTCTGAAACGGAAATATGAAGATTCATCATTTTATGTACAAGCTATAGCTAAAAGGAAATCTCACGCGACATGGCTCGGTGGCTTCAGATTAACAAGGTGTGCTTAATTTATTCAGGAGAAAGCTAAGCCATTCTCTTCACATGAACTTATCGGTCATTCCTGCAGCGATGCCCCAAAAATCGCTTCTTTGTTTCGAAAGTCAATTAGTACTAGACATCCAAGATACAACTACATCTTCCTGCCCAAGCGAGATTTGCGGAATTGATGAGGATGACAGTTCTCAGACCTCTCGTTGTGTTTGTAATAGTGGTCGTGTGCCCTGCAGTAGAATGTTCCCTCGCCCGTCGAGTAGTTTACATTCACTGTCTGGACGTCGACCGAGTGGCTGACTATGTTCGTGGTGTTGGAGTTGATAATACTCATTGTTAAGTAAAGTCTGATTCGATTATCGTTGTGAGAATTGTCGTCGTACTGGACATATGCTGGGGTTGGGAGTTGAAACTATATATTATTTGCTTGGACCTCAGTTGTGTGCTTGATAAAACAGTATTAAAAGAAGTTAATCAGGCTTTATGCTATACTTCCGGTGAATATATTGTACGGGATCTTTTGGCTAAGTGTCATGTGAGATTCAATTTCTGTGTTAAACTACAAGTCTTCTACTGCTTTTTTTTCACATCATAGAGTAGGATCTTGATTTCACCAACGCAAAGTTCTTTTCGTGAATAATTACGCAGATACCAACAACTGTACATTATTCAGTGGCTGAATATTCCCGCTAATGGCGAAAATGTCAGTCTCCAGTCTGTTCATAGGTTTCGAACATACTTCGTTACTTCTTCAATCTTCCTGCGCTGGACGTAGTACCCAAGAAGGACTTCCAATCACCATGACTAGTTTCATATAATATACGTGTTCGATCTTTATATTTTGGCGCCACTACTACTAGCATGTTTGTGCGAGATCATTACCTCACTTTCAGGCTAGCTACACTGATACTATTACTGTCTAATTCACAAGATCGACGCAACGTTTCTACTGAAGTCGTTATCACCTATACTTATCCTTGTGCTATTCATAGGAGCCACAAGAAGGATTGCTATCGTGTCACGTGTGACCCATCTGAGCCTTTGTGATGGGAGTTATGACAATTACAGAGCAGGCATATTACATCCTTGCATCTCTCGTTACTTTGCACCCTGGTGCTTTCAATGCCTATTTCTACGTCTCAATACAATTTTGCTTGTCATCAGTCCAACGTGTCACATCAGTGCATGCATACTCACCCATCTCAAATCACCTTCATGATTTAGGGCTTCTGTGGACTTCCATGGTGTCCTGATTTCTGCAAAATCCAATACGGGTGTACGATAATGCTGAAATCACGACTACTAGGCGTAAAATAGACGAGCAGCGGCCAATGTTCAAGAGTTATGGTTGATCATCCGCCGCGAGGCAATGAAATGAATAAAGCACAGTTCACCCAATTGAAGCTGCGCTGAGCCGCCCTTTCCTTAAGAATCTTTGGGCATTTGCGGCAGTATCTTAGCTTATTCCATCCACCATTTACTCTTCAAAGATCTAGACCTTCTCCATTAAGACTGTGAGACACTCCGTAATTGCTTGTTTGAAAGCGGGCATGCCACGGCCACAGTAGTCGCAGTTTCCATTGTAAGCGATCTCCATCTTGTGAGCACCGCAATACTCGATTCGGCCAACTGTGTCCGCAAAGTTGGCCATATCGCTGAATAGAGTCATTTCAGGAGTCATCTAAAATGCTTTTCTCAATGCGTTTTGATTGCGATAACAGCAAAAGGTAGCACTGCTTTCGAGCTACAACAAACATGTCCTCGATCACTCTTCGCTCGGTCTTTGTGCTGTCTGCTATGTGTGAAGGCAACGGTCTGTACCTGTAATACTTTTGCCAAAGGCGCCAGTGATTGAATCGTAAGCATACGAAGGCGCTTTTCCAGGTCAAAACTTTAGCCCTCGTCATCTATTATAATGTTAGAACTACAAAAGTTAGGCAGTGACATGATCTTACATGTTACACTAATATACATCACAGGTATGTTCACAGATTCGGTTACGGTTAAAGTTGTGCGGAGCTCTAGCGACGTCTACGTCATCGAACTTCATTGAACACATCGTGGCGGGCAATTCCGTCACGCTGTACAAGAGGTTCTGCAAGCAATGTTATAAAATGAAGTTCCAATCATTATTCACCGGTTGTATTCAAAACGAAAGGGAATTGATGCAGTTTGGGTCTGTTGTATTCATGTGTTGGCTTATTAAATTTTCATGTCGTCCATTTTGATAACCATGGGAGCATGGTATTGGGCTTAATGTTTCAGTTGGCATAAGCTCATAGTCTTACTCATTACCTCCACATGTACACTTATTTCAAGGATATTGCTTACAGTAACCGATCTGCCCTACTTTTACAGCACTTCATAATTTTATGGCAGTATGGCCTTGGAAAAGGACCATTTTACACAGTCGCATCTGGTTCATAAACCCCCACGAGAGTTTTACAGGCCGGCCAGGCTATCTTCCAATCCACATCAGGGTCTTAAAATGCAACTTGAACACCCGCTTCTAGCCGTTCCTTATATTCAACAATGCCCTTGCCTCCATTCCTCAGTTTATAACGAGAATTGAATTCGTACAACGAAGGATTGCCTCGATCAATGTTTCACCTATAGCTTTCAGAATTTCACGGCCGTCTCTAGATTCTGAGTCCTTTTGAAAATAAATTTTCAAGCTGTTGAACCGTCAGTCTACAAAATGATGTTTATAAGCTCGCATTATTATGTGCAACAGGATAATATTTATGACTTAATAGAGTTTATTATAAGACGCTATGCACACTTATTCAATTAGTCACGAGATCTAGGGGTACTTGCTACTCTGACTTAAGGATTCAATGTCCACAGTGTGAGCATAAAAGTTAAATTGACGCAATACCTACCTTGATACTTTTTGACATATAGAATCTGAACATCGTATTAGACTTTGGCATTAAACGCGCACAGCGTTTCTACCTTGCTGAGATGTTGTTACTATACTCGGTCTAATATAAAGCCCTTTATGGGAAAGAGCCTTGTTCCTGAATGTGGATTTGGCTTATACTTTGACACCTGACTGTTTATTGAGTGACTAGATGCAAATTAATTTGTTTATTGTGACAGATTGAGACCTTGTGCTAGAGTACTAGGGACATATAGCTATGCTCATAAGTACCATACTTAAGCGCAATGATTCAGACAGGCTTGTTTTATGCTCAAAAAGATTAGATTTTCTAATCGAAAAGCCATAACTTTGGTTCCCACTGGCTTGCTCTCTTCCAGTCTTGAACATGCGAACATATTTGAAATGTATTTGTCGTGCAAGATGTGAATCGTATCCAGTATTAATTTTTCCTTTGTCTTTTGCCTCCGTTTTTAGCTTGATGTGTCGATGGCTAAGACAAGCGGACCGCAGATGTTCCATGCAGCTGTCCGTCTTTGGGATAGGTGTACATGCAGGCCTGGATGCGTACAGGTTGTGTGTATCTGTAGGGAACGTTCCATTGTGCTGTATCTACAATGGATTTTAACCATTAATGGCCGTCTACGTACAGCCTGAGTTTTCTGGCTGCAGTCGGGGCATTTGCGTCATTAACGATGTTAACGACCAGAAAAAGATCTGTTTCATGATCCAACTTAAGTGAAATCTGCTGAGAACAGGATTCCTGACCATCTACCTTACTTCCATCCCAGCTGATAGTCCGGCCGGACGGGACACACATTGTATCCATAACTTCCTCATTCCAGGCATTCTTTTTCCTGCATGCAAGGCATCGACGTATATCTGGGCATCTTTGGTCCCCAATAGGAATTTCTATCGATTTCACTGGGAAACACCCTCGGCAGATGCTCACGATTTGGCCATGAGGGAAACAAGTGGAAGATTTCACACGATATTGGCAGGAATCCTTCGACTCAGCTTTGCACTGTGAGTCGCTATCCCTGTCTCGCTTCTCAAGCGTTGATGCCGGGAAGGAGCCAGGTTTCAGAGGTAGCGCTGTTCACCTGGTCAGACGACAAGGTCGTAGGAGTATGGCAAATTTCCCCTTTTCTCCAATTCATCAAGATAGACAGAAGATTTCCACGTAGATATGTGGATTTAGCCATCTGCTAAGCGCAAGATATGGAAATCGTATTTGAACATTTTGCAAGATCGTGTATTTACGTCTAGTTTTTAAAAGTCTATGTGGAGTTTTGGCAGTATCATCTGGGTATTGATTAAGCTTTGCTTGTCCAGCGCTTTGGCTTTGAAATTACCTTCATTGACATCCCGTGCTAAGGCTCCGTGCAGGAAGAGGCCGAGGGGAAGGACCAGGTGGGTGAGAAACATGTTGCGTTCAAGCTATGCAGCTATGCGACCTAGTGAAGACGAAAAGTTGCTGTTCATGGACGTGGTGAAGAAGGAGTAGATGCAACAATCAGCAGAGTTATATAGAGATTTGTTCAATCTATGCCTATCGGTATTTGCAGCGAATCTTCCTAGCCTCGATCTAGATGAACCTTGCAGATTTGAATAAACAGCATGCTGCCGTCATTTTGCAAGGTTATACGCTGTTATACAGCGATGAATCTTCGGTTCTAGCTACATTAAATCAGCTTGATACAGTAAGACTTTTGCTACTAGTGACTGGGACAGTAATCGTGAAAGGAATATTGTAGATGTTGAGAGAGCAGGAAGCGTTTTCTCCAAAAGGCGTTAATTTCCTATAGATATCAGTACAGGTCAAGATGTAAAGGGTCAAACCATCAGAGAGCTTCTAATTTCCAAGCACAAGCGCAATACAGCCACGCTGGGGTAACCCATAGCATAGTGCTTTCCAAAATCAAAGGTACAATCCCCGGACTCTTTCGATTGTAAGACAGAATAGAACTACGAGGAACGCCCGGAACTATATACATACTGGTCACAGCCGAATAAACCTGCCGAGCAGGAGTTCATAGGGGCGAAATCTGCATTTCTCATTTCACTTGCAAATAATTGAAACGACCGGTCCGGCCAAAAAAAGATCTACATGCTTGCCCGCTCCCGTTTTATAGATTTGCAGAAAGGTTCAGGTGTCCATCTGCAACGCTAAGACGTTTGTTGAGATACAAGTATTCTGGATGATTATGGTACACGATAGCTCTGCGGCCTTATTGTCGATACCTAAGCCTTCATGATCAGCCGCCTTCTTAGCCACCCTGCTGAACTCATACGCCGCTAGTACGTGTGATAAAACCTCCAACTCAGTCTCACCTTTCTAAATCAGCTACCCACACTCCTAGCCATTCCATCTACAGACGTATAATCCTTTCTTCTCACACATGCCGCATCCGCAGAGTTAGGCTGTACAGCTGGTAGGTAAGCCAAACCCTCTGAAATACTGCCTCGTCTTACCAGCATCACACCCTCTCCCAACCTAAACCCATCCAGATTTCCAGATTACACCTCCTGCACGCAAATCACATACTCGGTGCCTCATCCAGCCGTACCGCGCGCGGTTGGGCAATGAGCTCCTTTTGAGTTTTGAGCTTGGGCTTTGCGCGTGGTGTGAAGGGTGGGTGTATGTACTATTCCCTCCGCCTCTCCCCACGATCCTGATGGTGCTTTGAGCACCAAATCACAGTACGCTTCTACCATCAAACCAACAGTATAACTCTACCACCAGCCCATAGTGCACTTTGACATTAAACCACATCACACCCATACCCACACCACCCCCTCAGACGCACACGCACGCAATGGCTTGTAAATAGCAGCAATCGCATTTGCTACCTCTAGGTATCACTAACAGGAGTTCCCCAACCTCCCATCGCCACTCCACCCCCAGACCCACCTTACAGCCCCCTTCCCCCCTACAAATCTTAATCCTTTCCACAACGCAAAACCAACCCGGCATAAACCTCAGGCGAGGTGAGTAAAACCAAACCCCCGCAAAAGCGCCACGCCCTCTCCATCGATCCCACATTCCTACTTTTCCAGCACATCATATGTCGTACCCATAACTTCACCACATAGCATTCAACATAGCGCGGACAATACACAGGGGACACAAGGCGGGTTATGGAGATATGGGAACATGAAAAACACACAGCGTGCATAAAATTCCACCACCACATAATAATTATCTACTTATTTCTCTTCCTCTTTTCACTTTACCTTTTACCTCCCTCTCTCCCTCCCTCTTCCTCCCCCCCTCCAATCCAGCGCCCTACGAAATCGGCGACGGACTCGGCGTCGGCGGCAAAGGTGGTGACACCGTGCAATTCGGGCAATCGGAGCCATCGTAGCCATAGGGGTCTCTGCACTGGGAGCAGAAAGATTTTGCCTGGTCGAAGGGGGTGGAGGGGTATGTGAGAATCATGGCTGGGGGATTGGTATATACGTTTTCGATTCAGGGGGGTTGGAAGTGTAGGTTGTTTGGTTGTTGTGGTATCGATGCTGTGGTGTCGGTGATATATTGATGGAGATTTTGCTGGTGGTGGGTGTGTTGAAGAAGCGGTTGTGGCATGGTATGAGGATGTTTAGATCTGGGGTTGGCGAGGGTTTTATGCAGAGGGTGGATTGTGACGTAGAGAGGGCGATGGCACGTACAAACATGCTCAGTGTCATGTTGTGACTCCTTCAAGGCATTGGCGCCTCCCAATCCCAACAAGACTTTCTTGAATCACCATGATTTCATGGCATGAGGTCAGTTAAATCCTTGCAATCGCCATGTTCGCCGCCTCATCCTTTTCCAACAGTATAAAATACCCTTATCCCACCTCTAATACCCATCAACTCCCTGAAAAATAGCCATTCATCTCCATGCCCAGCACAAGTCTTTCCATGGAGTTTTCTTCCGCAGTGCCCTTTCCCTTGCCATATCCCTGCTTGGCCGTCAAGCCTCTGCAAACGCTCAGAAAGACCCGGATCTTGCCTCTCATCTTCGCGTATAGTTCTTTGACGTTGATTTCCTCTTTGACGGGCTGATTCTGCATCTTCGCAAAGAGAAGAATGTAGTCGAATATCTCTTCTACAAGGGCTACAATTTTGCGTTGACGTTTGCGGAGGAGAAGGGAGAACATGATACTGTCGAGACACCGTTCGTGGGCGTTTCGGAGAGACGCGACACCCTCGGTCGCCCGTGTGCCAAGTTCTCCAGCTGCATCTTCTTCGTCGATACGTTGTTCGAGGGTGTCGACAAGGGCAGTAAAGTCACCCCAATGTTCTGCGATACCAGTTTGGAAGACGTAATTTGCGAACACGTAGACAAAGTGATGCGCCTCCATTCGAAGCTGACGCGATTCGACATCAGCAAACTGCCGAGGGAGATGCGATACTACAAACAGCATGCGTAATAGTCTCAGTAGGAACTTGAATATGATGTCGTATTTGTCCAAAATGCTGGTCGTGATGATCATGTTCAGTGGATTCGGTGCCACATACTGGAGGCGGAGGAAATCAAGTGCAGATAGAGCATCGGGGTCCATGACTTGCTCCTGCTCGGCTTCTGTAAGGTTGCGGACAGCGAAATTGAGCTGACCAGGGAGTTCGTCATTGTCTCTTCCGTTGATGAGTGTATCGGTCGCTATTGTGGCGCCATCCGTCTGGCTACTCCGATACAAGGCAGAAGAATAGTAGCTCTCACTAAGGACGCCTCTTAGTGCCAGGCGGAGCTCAGAACTAGCGGGTGGCCAAGTTTTACGAGAGCCCAGCTGCAAGCCCATGTGCACTCCGCTGCGCATCTGGCCTTTGTGTCTTTCAGCACTTTCTCTATTGGGGTCGAAAAGAGCAGTGGCCAACAGTGAAGAGAATACTCCATCGCCGAGTAGATGGTATTGCCGTTGCAGGGAAAGATGAAGCTGTAGATTATGTGAACGAAAGAAGAGCCTAATGGTTGCTGCATTCACGAGTTTGGCTTGTGCTGTTATCAATGGACGGAAGGAGAGAGCGGACAGTAGGGAGAGTGGTGGCGAGAATTTGTTGGAATCTGTGTGATCATCACTGTTTCTGCCCTGGAGCAGACGGTCTACGAGGAGTTGCAGCTCATCAGGCGATGTATGCAAGCTCTGGGTTAGCGGTGCGTCCATTGCACGTATAGAATCTTCAAAGTATCGGTCAAGGTCCTGAGGACCGTCTTGAGCTGCCGATGATTGTGGCCGAGAATTCGTTTTCTTGGCCGACGAACCCTTGCCGAATGCCAAAAGTGATTTGCGTAGGTCTTGCTCGTACTCATGTGCTTTGCTTGCTATTTTTTCGACATCCTGCCAAGCAAACCCCCATTCTAACTCCGGACGCGTAATGTTGGACCTGTGCAAGGAGGCTAGGGGGTGCTCTGGATGTTGTGTCTTCAAGAAATGTAGACTGTGTCCAATTTCGAAAACGGTGTCGCCATCTTCAGGGGCAATGTATCTTGGCATCCTTTCGGAGCGATAGGTAAACTCGAGAGAAGGTGGTTCAACGGCAGCATCCTCAACGACAACAAAGTTGTCCCTGGCCCAAATCGGCTGCGCTGCCTGCTCTTTTGTGATGCCAATCCACTCGCCTATCAGCTCGAGGCTGGGCCGGGCAACCTGGCGTAGCATCTCACTCGATAGCTGCCTGAGATATTCGTTGCCCTCTTCGGATTCTAGTAACCGGTGGTGCAGAACGGACGAAAGCTGTTCATTGGTCTTGGCGTACTTGACGGCATCCACCATTTTGGCAACATGGACGAGAATTTCGCGAGGCTTCGTAAACTGATGCTGCAGTTGAATCAGGGAGCGAATCTCGACGGAGCGTTTGCCGAGCACATTCTCAAGGCTGGACAGGATGCTGGAGACACAAGTAGCCAAGGCCACCCGTGCTGGAATAGAGGCTGCTGATGTGAAGGTGCGCTCAGTAAATGACCTCAGATATAGGAATGTATTGCCAGTGTGTGTGAATTGCGTAATCAGGCTTTGGGCAGCGTCGAGACTGATGCCAGAGGGTCGACCATCTGCGATTGAGGGCTCAAATGTCTTGAGTTTGGGATTGAAGTGGAAGAGAAGGGAGGAACGGCCAAGCCCCAAGTTCCACAGAGACTGCAAGAGTACATTGCTCTTCAGCACTCTGCCAGCGTGGATCTTACCCCCGTCATGGACCAGGGCTGCGTCGAATGCTGATGGGCCGCATTCGGTGATGTAGGGCGAAGAGGTGTGTTCTTGATGATGGCCCTTTTCGAAGTCTTCCCATGTGTAGAAGATGACGTCCTTGTTGGCAGGACCCAGGTCAAAAGCTGCTTCCCAAACATCCTCCTCGGGTTCGAGAGACGGTGGTGGCTCTAGGAAAATGCTAGACTCGTCGGGACTGGCGAGATCGGGCAATGGGCCAAATTCAAATGTCTCCAAATCAGGCAGACGCAACTCCTGTTCGAGGTCATGTTTTGGGGCATAGGGGTGGTCAAATCGAATTGAGGCGACTGTATAATGAATCAGCCATTGTCGATGCACGCGTGCACAATACCTATGGGGGGGGGGGGGGTCGCGTGGGGAAGACGCGACTGAACCAGGATTCTGACGTACTGTCTAGTTCCAGGGGGGCAAACAGAGCCGACTCATTATAGGTGGCAGGATCCACGTAAAGCGTTGACGGCTTCCACAGATGGTCGGTGGTGAAGACATTGTCGACCTCATCTGCACTCAACATGGTGGGTGGTGGGTGACATGTGAAATGAAGACTCTGCCTACGCCGGTACCTAGGTCTAGGCCATGGGCTGGGCTGGCCGCGGGGAGGGGCAATTTGCACGACGTGGTGGCATGTCATATGACCATGGGTTTAGCGTCGGGCGACTTGGGCTTTACTCCAAGTGGTTAGAATATCCCTGTAGGTTCAAGTCCACGTTATAGTAGCAAATTTTTATAGTTATATAAACTAGCCTATAGTTAAGTATAAATTAGGGTAATTTAAGTAAGTAAACGCAGTTTTTGTTACTATCTTTTTTAAACATGTTCTAAACCTATTCTTAATAATATATAGGCGTTCCTAAATACTATACTAGAGTTTAGTATAGTAGTACTAGATAATATATCTAAACTAGATAGTAATATTAAAGATAAATTTAGGCAACTATATAAAGTGCTAGAGGAGGATAGTAGTAGTAGCGTTAAGGAAGTAAGTAAAAGTAAATAGAATAAGTTTAGAATAGGTTAGTAACACGTTATAGGGGTATAATGTATACCTTACTTATAGTAATAGTTAAGGACTACTACTTATACTAGCAATTATTAAGTATACAGCTATTCTCCTAGCATACCCTTAATTATATAGCTAAGGGTATAGGTATATAATACTAGTTTAGCAATATAAAGATAGCTCTTACCTAATAAGAGAAGAGGTGCTTATACAGGCTATACAGGTAACACGTTAAGAACACGTTCTTAAATTGTTCTAATTCTAGCAGGTATAATACTTCTACTAGTCTATCTATCTTAACAGGCCTACAACTTTACTATTCTTTAATAGCTAGCTAGCAAGCTAGTATAAATACTAATACTCTAGGGTAAAAGCGTATAAGTATCTTAAGAATATATTATAAACATGTTCTTATTACGTTATTAATAATATATTATATAATTAGATCTAAACCTTAAAAAGTGCTATACCTAAGAAAATTCTATAAAGAGAACTATAAACAAGAAGCTATTATTATAGCCTTATTAAGCGCTTCTCTTTAAGGATTTATAAGGACTACTAGGTGTCTTATTATCCTATAATAAGGACTATAGTAAATTAGGTAGGGAGCAAAACTTAAACATATTTAAAATATATTAATAATAAGTTAGTAAATTATAGAATAGGCTTAACTATATATTAGCTATTAGAACTATAGCCTAATATCTGCTACTAGGAAAAAATATTATTTTAGTTAGGTACTACTAGAGGTAGACTCTATATATCTATAAGGTCTTCTAACTAGGGAGATATTAAATCTTTCTAGTAGTCCTGCTTTATATTCTGTGGTTAAGCTATAGTTAAGCTAGATAAAGAAGTGTAGTAGGCATATTATAACCTATTCCTAATATATTCCTAATATATTCTAGGCGTTAATTATCCACAAGAGTAAGGATCTCTATTTAAAATCCTATATAAAGTTACCTTCTAAGTAATTATACTAATAGATATAGTAGCAATACCTTTTTTTGCTATTATTTCTTTTAGTATATATATACATATACCTCCTCCTCCCTTAACACTATCTAATAGTAATATTAAGGAAGTAGTAAAGGTATTATAGCCTATGCTTACTCTATAGCTTATATAATATAAGTTATTTGTAACCTATTATAAATGTGTTCCTAACTTATTATAGCCTAGTTCCTAAACTTAACCTAGCTCTAAACCTATCTCTAACTTAAAGGTTTCTATTCTATTAAAGAAATGCATATTAGCTTTATAAATAAAGATAAAATCTTACGTATTATAAAGCGTGAAAAGCTTCTATAGTTCCTATTTAAGAGTAGCCTTAGAGGAGTACACTATAAGTAGAGGACAAAGTATTAGGATCCTAAAACTGTACGTGGTATAAGAGAACAGGTTTAGAACACGTTGCTAACACGTTACTATAGGCGTATATATAGCAAATCTTTATATTAAGCTTAGGTAACTTAATTATTTGCCTTTTTAAAGAGCAGGCATTAATTCTATTAGATTAAGACACATTCTAGATAGATATGTTATATAAGAGGTTATATAAGGCATAGGTAGAGATTCTAATAGTAATCTTCTACCTGCAGGAAAAGAAGCGTACGTATTAAGAATAGGTTTATAATATGTTTCTAACATATTACAGTTATTACACTTGGCTAAATTATTATAGATAAGGACACAACTAAGATATATTAAGTTACTATTACTAACTTCTTTTAGAAGTGTAAAGCACTTATAAAAAGATAAGTATTATAGAGGTATATTTACTTATAGGGATTCTATAGGACTACTATTAATATGTGTAATAAGTAGATAATAGGCAAGTTTTATAGCGTACTGTAACATGTTTGTAACGTGTTTCTAACTTGTTTCTAGGACTTAGGCGCTATCTCTAGTTAATTAATCCCTATAAGCGTAACTAGCGCTAGTAACTTTAATCTTATATAAGATTTTGTTAAGTATATCTATAAAGAAGTATTTATAAAGTATGTAAAAGAGAGCTAGATAATACTACCTCTTTACGTCTAAGTGAATTACTATAGGCATTAATAGCAGAGGAATACTTTTAGCTTGCTAACCTCCTCTTACATAAGTAAATATATTCTAAACCTGTTCTAAACGTGTTCCTAACTTGTTCTTATATAATTAGAACACAAACCCTCTAAAGATGCCTAAAACTAGGTAATCTATAAGAAAAACCTAGTAATTGCTGCTAGGATTGTGTAATACTGTAGTAAAATGTTAAAAGAGGTATAGGAAAAACTAGAATCTTATTTAAATATAGCTAAGCAAGCAGGCTAGAAAGGATATAAAACTAGTAAGCATATAAGTATTCTTAAGGCTACTTAGAAGTAAGTTTATAACCTATTCTTAACCTGTTAGAATTGTATAAGTAATATTGTGTAGTGCACACTAGATAGATCTGTAGGATATAAAAGAGTTTAAAGCCTAGAGCAAGTTTAGAATACGCTATAACTATAGAACTCCTAATAGGCTTAAGTAAAGGTACCTTAAAAAGCTTTAGAGGGGAGAAAGTAAGTCTTATACTAGTGTTATGCACATTCGCTAATTAAAACGTGTTTAGAACGTGTTTAGAACGCGTCCTATAATAATAATAACACTCTAGATAATAATAAAGTAAGTCTTGCTATATCTAACTTAACTAGATATATCTTAGTCCTAATAAGAAATAAAAGAGCACACTTAAAAGCCTAAAGCTAGAGGGCAAGTAGTAGAGCGGTATTAGAAAGAAGTTTACTAGCCCCTTTTCTATCTTCTTTACTACTAGGCTCTTCTCCTCTACTAATAGTAACCTAAAGGTATGCTTTATAAAACACGTTTATAACATGTTCCTAACTTATTATTAGTCTATAACTATAAACTTTATAATAAAAGGCTCTTTTTAGTAATTAGGCTCTAAAGGAGAGAAAAGAAAAGCTAGAGGTAGATAAGGAAGAACTTGCATAGAAAAAGGCACTATTTAAATTATAAAAAGTACAGTTTAAACTTAAGAAAGAGATAGCTACTTTTTATATAAGGTAGGGTTAGTCTATAAATATAGTAACTAGTTCCTAACTAGTTCTTAATATATTCTAGTCTATTATATAAGCATATATAAGTAGATAAATATATATTCTTTCTTCTTCTCTTTCTTCTTCTTTCTTCTTACACTCTACAAGAACTTTTTATATTTAAGAGTTTAATACTATTTTACTATCTATCTTTCCTAATATTATTAGATATAACTAGTTAATATAGTCTATAAAGATCTTTTAAAGTTAGTATATAATAGAACGCGTTAGGAACACGTTGTAAACTTATTCTAACACTAAGTAGGATTTATACTAGTAATATATTAAGCTTAAGTTACTTCTATCTAATACTAGGGTATTCTCTCCTACAATATCCTACCTAAATAATAGGTGTATAGTATTTCCTAGCGAGCTTTTCTACTAGGCTATTTAGGCTAGATTAGGGGTACAGGAACTTTGTAGAGTATATATATATGTAAGTTAGAACACGTTTATAATATATTAATAACTATTTTAGTGTTGCTTCTCTAATAGAGGTAATCTTATCTACTACCTTAAGAGGTATTATCCTAAGGTTTAAATAGCCCTAGTAAACTATAGCAGAACCATAATACAAGGCATTACAGAAGCAAGGATCTTCTATAGGAGCTTAATAGTAAATGCTTAAGAACGTGTTCTAAACACGTTAATAATACGTTCTCTGCTAGTAGAGTAGACTGCACTAAGTGCCTCCTCTAAGGTTTAAGAACCCTCTAAGATAGCTAGTCTATAATAAGAAGTGGTAGCTAGAGTAGAGGCTAAAGAGGAAGTAGAGAGTAAAGAAGAGGAGTAAATAGTTGCTCCCCTTTACACTATAAATAATATTTAGTAAAAGTAGCAAAAAGGAGATATAAGTCTAGTCTCTTAAAACACGTTTAGAATATATTAATAATACGTTATAGCTAGACACCTATAAATGCTAGATTCTTCTTTAATCTAAGGGACTACTAGAGCTTTATAATACCTATAAAAGTTAAAAGAAAAAGTTATATACTATTAAAGGACCCTATAAAAGTAAATAGTACTTTACTTTTAGTAGATAGAAAAAAAAAGAGAAGAGTAGAGAGTTTATTTTAGTAATTACTACTACCCCTTTAGGTTATATACTATTATATATTGTTTATTAGAACCTATTCTTAACACGTTCTTAATATGTTCCTACTTATTACTATTATTATCTCCCTCCCCCTCTCTAGTATCTTCTCTATCCTCCCTATCCTCCCTAGACTCTATAAAAGCATACTATAAGTGGAACTAGGCAGTATTCTAGTAGGAATTAGTAAGGTCTACACTAGTATTAAAGTAATAGTCTTAAAATATATTAGGAATAGGTTAATAATATATTATAAATAACTTACTATAGCTAGGATAATTACAAGCGCAGATAGTATAAGGAACCTAATAACCTTAAATCCTTAGTAGGGTAGATATAGTAATAAAGTTAAGCTATAATAAGTTAGTAACGTGTTTTTAATAGGTTCTTGCAGGCTATACCTTATTACTATTATAGCTACTATAAGTCTTCTTCTAAATTATATTTAGGAGGGTATTAGTATTTACAGGGGGGCCTATAGTAGCTACTAGCTAGGCTTAGAGAACTTCTATAAAATATATTAGTAATAAGTTTTAAATATATTCTAAATAACTTATAGTAAGAAGTATTCTAGTAATTATATATAACCTTTATATAGAAGTCTATATATATTAGTATAATAAGTTAAGAATAGGTTAATAATATATTTACTCTTTACCTTATAGACCTCTATTATAGAGGGCTAGCTAGTCTTCTTAACCCTACTAACCTTATAGTAAGCTATATTAAGCCTATAATCTTTTTTAGCATAGGTATATAAAGTGCCCCTAGTACCTAGAATAGCCTAAGAATATTAGAACCTATTTAGAATATATTTAGAACCTATTCTTACTCTATATAAGGTGCCTTTATTATTAATTTTAGTATAGTAGTAGCGCTCTCTACTCTCTATCTTAACTACCCTATTAGGGCTAACTATAGGCTATACCCTAATATTATCTAGGATATAGCTAAGGGTAAGGTACTATTAATAGTGCTTCTATAACCTATTAAGAATATATTCTAAACACGTTTTAATCTACTTATATAGGATAAGAAGGGATATATTAGTAATAGGTATAGTAGCAGCAGCTTATAGTATTACTAGTATAGAATATATTTAGAATAGGTTTAGAACGTGTTGTAAAATCTTATAGTATAATATTTAGTTAACCTTACTTAGCTAGCTAGTAGAGCTTGGCACGGCCTAACCCTATGCTAAATACGAGTTCACGCAGCGCTAATTCCATGGTCATATGAACTGCGCCCTCAAAGTGTGTGGATGTGGGCGCTGTCAGCCTTGTGGCCTTGTGTGTTAAGGGGGGGGGGGGAGAGGTCGACGGGTGGCTGGACCCTTTTGGGGCTCTTCTCTCGGCGCCCTTTGGTTCCTGCGCGCGAAGTTCGCGACTTGTGTGTGTGTGTGTGTGTGTGTGTGCCTGGAGAGCAAGCTGGAAACGAGACGTGCCCTCATCATCCTGCCTTTCACACCCAATCTCACACCCCAATTGGCGCCAAAAGACGTGCAAATATGGGCCCCCGCAAACGTGCCAAAGCCAGCGCAGCTTCAACACCTCTGGCAGACGCACAACCACAGGACGAGGGCGCGGCCCAGTCGCAGGATGACGTACAGCCTCTTGACCCTTGGGCCGACGAGCAAGAGACACAACTCTTCAAGAGCATGATGAAGTGGAAACCAACTGGTAAATGACCTCTACCCTCGGCCATGCAACCACTCGCATTAACAACCCCCCTCAGGCCTCCACAAGCACTTTCGGATGATTAGTATTCACATCGACATGCGCTCACATGGCTACGCGACCGAGGACGCCCCCCACACGCGCATCCCAGGCATATGGAAGAAGCTACACCAACTGTACGACTTGGACACGCTCGATGCACGTGAGATTGAATTTGCCTTTTCCGACGACCCCGATCCAGCCGACCCAGAGGAGGCAGGTGCGATACCAGACTTCGAGCTGCCAGAGGACGAGTTTGGCGAGATGATGTGGCACAAGCGGTTCCATCGTGAAGACTCGGCAGCAGTCTCGTCCCCGGCCCAGATTCCGCCCGAAGACGACAAGAAGCTGTATGCCCCAGGCATCGGTCTCTTGAAAGATCTTCCCGATAGCCAACGCTCACAACAGGCCGAGAGCGTAGCCGAAGCCACACCAACGCCAAAGAACCCAAAGAGCACACGGGCGAGCAGGGCCACGGCAAAGAATGCAAAGGGAGCAAAGGCCGCAAGCAATGCTGCGAAGAACAGTAAACCGCAGTCCACTGTGTCGGAATCAGCTGCAGAAGAGGAAGACGACGAGGAAGAAGAGGAAGAGTCAAGCGCTGAATCTGCAGAGGACCATGCGCCAACAACTCGTCGGACGAACCGTGGGCGAGCAAAACCAGCTCCCAAGAGGACTCGCAAGAGATGAGCATCTGGCGTTGTCGAGTGTTCAAGCAACCCTGCCTGCTTTCTCCAGTTTGAAATCTCTGGCCTTCAGGCCCAACTCACAACCATGTCATGCCTATTATGTGGCCTGGGTCGACTTGGCCAATTCATCGTCACAAGCCAGCTTGCGGTCATGGTGGACGGTCTCGCACATCTCACCGAGTCGAATCGCAGCAATGCTACGGGGCCGTCCAATACCGACTCTCCGCTATAGTCATGACTATTCTCAAGAATCATATACCCAAAGCGCTGATGCTTTTGATGCAGAAGACATCATGCGGCTCAGGCTATCATATTACGTACGACTGCAAGTGTTGGGACAAAGCGATGCCAACTGGCGCAGGAACCCAATCAACTCTGGACGAGTGAGTGACAAGAGCGCATCTTACAGAAGGGACTGGGGAACCCCTCCAGTTTGCATTCATGTGAAGCGGGCAGTAGAATGAGATCCGTGTAACGAAACCCCAACAAGCCAACATGGCAAACTCTTCAATGATTACCGCTTGTACAACATTCAGCACTTGAACCAACATAAAAAACTACACTTGATTTGCCAGCTCGCGATTGCACACCATGTTGAGGACATGATCAAAGTGCGGGGGTCCCTCATTTGCGCCGCCGTCACTACTGCAAACGCTTCACCCTGAACCCCCCCAGTGCCCTCTCTCCACGTCACACACATTCGCCCTCATTAGCGCTGAAGTCTTCACCTACCTTCCCACTATACAATCCCTTACAATACTCTGCTCTCATCTACTTTCTCATTGCCACCACACTCGTTTTCAGTGCATGTTCGCCAGCCGCTTGCTTCAGTGATTACACACATTTGCTCAACAGTAGCTTCTACCACACCACAACAACAGCAACCACGACAATAACAACAACAACGACAACAACGACAACAACGACAAAAAGCAACAGTATCAACCACTCCACCACCATGCATCTCGCCACCTTCATCCTCATCCTCGTCACCAACATGGTCACCGCCTTCATTGTCCCGCCAGTCGAGGCTCCAGACACCACTACCGTCGACCTCGTCTCCCGCGACACCGACTGCGGCGCATGTACCCGCTTGTACGACTTCTGCGTCAAGGTATACAGTCTCTTCAGGTGTCGCTACATCTCATGCTAACAGAGCCATAAGAACGGCCATACAAAGGGACAGACGGGCTGCATGCAAACCTGTCGCGAACATGTCTGCCATGTCAATGCTAGCGTGAGTACTTCCAGCGCCTTTTTGGCTGCTTTTTCGAGCTGACATGTTGCTGACGATGTGAGGCGGGTAGTGCAAGGGCTGCGGTGAGCCGTTTGACCAGTGTCCCACGGTCTCTCGTTATGTTAGGAAGGAGTGAGGACGTGGATCGGCGTCTGTGGGACGTGGTTCGTGAGTATCGGTTCAAGGATGGAAGATATGCAGGAACAGATGGCAAGGTCATGGGATGATATGGAGAAATGATATGAAGCTTTTGAACCAGCTTAATTTGTATCATGCAAAACTCAAATACACAAAACTCTGTACTACCTCTCCTCCACAACAAAACAGCCCCTCACCCACTACCATCAAAGTAGAACCCCCACCTAAACCCACTCCCCCATCCCAATCCTCTCCCCCATAAGGTGT